GTTTGCTTTTTTGTTTATCAAAAGTGAATTTTTTATCTCTTCTGGCTGCCGAAATGAAATTAGCCGTTTACGCTGTAGGCCATCATACTTATTGTTATAACCGTGAAGAAGTGAAACATTCTGAAACACTTACTCGACGGCATCGACAGAGCTAGAGCAGCTACATTTTTGGATACTCATTAAACTCTTCTACAAAGCTTCATTTGGCGTCATATCGTTGCAGAATTTCCATTGGTCTTCATGGCTCGTGGACTTCAGGTTCATCGCCAATCGTTCTGTCCTGCGCTGGCTTGACTTATCAGACTTCTTGAACGGTTCGTTCAACACATCTTTGCCATTTCACCGCTATTACGTCATATAGCTCTGAGCAACTTTGTAGGTATCTCTTGCAAGTTTACTTTTAGACTTCCGTCCCGCTGATATTTGTATCCCGAGTAGTCATAGTCCTTCACGGCAGGAATCTGGCGAGAACATTTTTTCAGGAACTTTAGGCACTAGCCATTGTCAGCTTACTGCGTTCATCTGTAAAACACTGCGCTGCTAGTCCATTTTTTGTGTGTCAGCATAGGATGCGCGTAGCTTTGATTAAAATTTTTAAAACTAATTTTATAGACTAGTTGAATAAGTCTCTTTCAGAGATGACAGCTGGTATGGCTTCATTTGGTAAGTCTCATGACCAATCTTCTACAGAACAATGTGGACGTTTTTTTACTGTATTTTAGAACTGTACGTATGCTTCTCGTAGATTGCTTAGAAGTGATTACATCAGTTGTCTGTAGGATTGTCAGTACCCATATACCTTATTTGAAAACTTGTCGAAGAGTGATTTAGGTGTGTTCTATTTGCTGTTTCGTACTTTCTTTTACTTGCTCATGCGCCATTGCGTGACCGTTAAAAATGTGCGATTCTTTAAGTTTTAACACTATTTTTTTCTGGAAGTTATTTCTTATATCATATCGAAAGTGAGGGATCTTAGCGTCGAAATTGTGTAACTATGCATTTTAAGAATTAAAGCGATAAGTCGTGGATACGATTATTCCCTCCTTTTATTGAGTACTTCTGTATTTTTATAAGCTTTGTTGAGGTATTAGACTCTTTCTACCCTGGTTTCAGTAAAAAGTTGTTACGGGTTCGTTGGAAAAATTTATCGTCTTGGTTCAATCTGTTTTTCCATAATTTTTCATCTTTAGGGATACTCACGAGAGGAGGATGTTTGCAACCGATGCTTCACACACCAGATTAATACGGCTGAGACTGGTTAAAAGTTATAATTTGGTGCCGTATGTTGTTCTGTTGAATTTGCTTTATTAAATTGCTGGTGCACTGTTTGCGGTTACTTAACCCGTCAGTCGTTTACAACCAAGATTGACGCGTAAAATCCTTTGTTTAGTGGCGATTGAGTACTTGGGCAGCTTTGTGGAAGACCGTTACTGTGACGTAGTCACCTGCTTTGTGTTAGGACAGAGATAAAAGGGTTCTTCCTTGAAGAGGATTTTATGTGAGGGTTTCGACAGTGCTGTCATTTGGAGCATTTTTTTTATATGATCGCGCTTGGCATTAAGACGTGATGAAAAACTTTGGGTGTTCCAGAAAGCTTTTGCCGACTTATTTTGACCAAATTTCAGTTTTTTAATTAAATGTTGAGTGGTAGTAGCAGTATCACCAGGCAACACCCTTTTTGGTAAGAGGGTACGTTGACGCAGCACTGTTTATTACTAGTTTTTTTTTTTGACTAAGTTGGAGGGGGTTTGGGCAGTGCTGATGCAGAACCAGGACTTGATCTTTGCCGTTATGAACCATTCGTGTGTACTGTAAACGAAGTCTGTGTGCTGTGGTTGACTGTCTTTGTCCTAGACAGTGTGGTGAGACCACCAACCTTAATGAAGCTTGACTTTTTGTTTGAGCGATAGTCCTACGTGCAGTTCATATAAAGATTAGAAGAAGAAGAGTGAAGTAGAATTTTGCTGGTAAGGAGTAAATCATGTCAAGCAGTGGTGGAAAACAAGGTTTGGTTTATTG